TGATATTGATACTGATACCGATACCGATACCGATATCGATGCCGATATCGATATTGATGCCGATACTAATGCCGATACCGATAATGATACCGATATTGATATTGATATGATATTTGATATTTAGACTAATATTAATATTAATACTAATATTAATACTAATACTAAAACTAATATTAACACTAATATTAATACTAATATTAAACTAATACTATTACTAAAACTATTACTAACCCTAATATTAATACTAATATTAATTCTATTTCTAATGCTAATATGTTAATATTAATGCTAATACTAATTTTAATGTTAATGTTAATCAGGACATATGTCGCTTATGCTGACTATAATTGTAATACTAATATTATCCAAATTCTTATCCTATTCATAATCATATTCATAACATTAATCATGATTCTAATCCTAATCATAATTCTAATCCTCAACCTATTTCTAACATTAATCATAATCCTAATAATTTTACTACTACTAATACTAATGCTATGCTAATGTTAATTATAATTATAACTCTAACCACAATCCTAATCCTAATGCTAATCATAACCATAATACTAATACATGTCACTAATTGTAGTACGAATCAATAATCATAATCTTAATTATAATTATAATACTAATATAAATCATAATCATAATACTAACAATTAATTATATTACTATATTAATCCGAATCCTAATCCTAGTATTAATACTAATACTAATTCAAAGAATATTAATTATAATCTTAAGTTTAATGCTAATACTAATTACAATCCTAATTAAGATTTTGCAATTATCTATTATTTTGTATCAAAAAAATTATATTCAATCTCGCAACTTTTATATCAAATTCATTATGTGTAGTACCTGAAACATCAAGAAACACATACTAATTATATTAGAAATTAATATCTAATTATATTATCAAACTGCATTAAAATTATTTAAAATAATATAAGGATATAAGCAAACGTTAAGACGTGAAAATAACGATAATCGTTGTTAATAGGATAAATTACGAAAATCCTCATGAACTTAGGCTAAATTATGGAAATCACCCCCACTTATCGGTAATTACCAAAATCCCCCATATGTTTGTTCATGTCTTACACGACCCCCTTATGGTGTGATTTTTTACGTAATCTTTTTATTCCATGTAATATCCCAAAAATTGTGGATTTTAACCTTGCAGACATGACATTTCATTTATATTACTTTTTAAATACAAAAAATACCCTTATGGGAGGTAATAGTAATACTAAAAAGTTGTGAAGATGTTATTTAAGAAGAATAAATATTTCGTGTAGAGTCCCCCTCAGGGTAATTTTTGTCTTTAAAAAGTACCATAAACAAATGTCGTGTGCATGGTAGAATCTGCATTTTTCGAGGAATATTCTACGTAAAAAAAAATCTGTGAAAAATCATAACGTAAGGGGGTCGATGTAAGACGAAAACAAACATCAGGGAAATTTTGGTAATTACTACGAATATAATATTAAATTAGTAAAAACGATAAACATATTATCTGGTCATATTCGTGTAAAATGTATAATATCAAATGATTTATTCTGCAATATATTTTTTTTATATAAATCCAAGTGTATGAATTAAAATACAAAATTTTCGTAACACCATCAATCATACAATTATAATAAGTGAAGATTTTAAATTGAATTTAAATAAATTTAAATTAAATTAATTACTATTAAAATTAAATTAAAAAAATAAAACTATTTAAAGTTTCCAAGAAAGTTGATATATTTAGAGCATTTTATAAATGGTATGATATAAATATATAATAAAATAATTAAATATCTTTTTAATTTGGAAAATGGTGACATATTTTTTGATGATTTATTTTCACCAATCAATTTGCCATGTGGGATGAAATTGAATACATGTCACCAATTGAAATTGACAAATGTCAATCAATTAGGTGTGGAATTCAACTTTTATATATATTATATAGATTATATAGATTAAACTTGAAATTATGAGTCGAGTTTGAACTTCAAGTGACTCACCTGAAATTAAATTTAACTAATTTAATAGTTACGTATTTATTATATTAGTGCTTGAGTGCCTGCAAAATAGTTTTATCTTAACAACAAATAAGAAAATATAGGGTCTAACCATAGTGAACATATGGAATGAAAATTGAAATATACAAGTTTGGAATTTACAAACTTAATATAAAAAGTTTTATAAGACAAAAATACTAATCTTCTTTCATTCATATGAAATCGGATCGTAAATTGAAATTGGAATTGAAATCGAAATCTCATGTATATTGCAATTCCAATCCAAAAACATTCAAACAAAATTGAAATCTGAATTTTCGAAACATTTTTATTAAAGTTTATTACAAGCACATTGCCGAAAAGAAAAGAAAAATAAAATCAACATAATTAATAACTCATGAACCTCACCCCCACCCATCCCCGCCATTCAATTTTCCATCCTCCGACTTTTGTTGCTCAATTTTTGAATGAGCATGTAAGAAACCCAAGAAAACTATTAGAGAATTGAGAAGTTTCGTATCAATCTCTGAAAATTGTTCAATTTAAATCCAATGGGCTTAATAAAAAGGAATTTTCTCGTGCCAGCAGACGTTCAGAATAAGGTTAAGACGTTGCGAGATGGTCTCAATATTATTTTACTGCATCTGACGAGTGATAATGTGTTATACATAAACCACTTATTTGAAAATAGTTGTTTGTCTATTTTACTGCATCTGACAGTATTGTTGTGTTATACATAACCGCATGTATAAAAATAGTTGTTTGTCTATATTACTGCATAAGACAGTGATTTTGTGTGATACATAAACCCCTGTTTGAAAATAGTTGTTTCTCTGTGTCTCCTATTTTACTGCATCTCTCACTGATTTTGTGTCATACATAAACCCCCTATTTGAAAATAGTTGTTTGTACGTGCCCTGTTTTCATGCTGCTCACAGTAATTGTGTGGTACACAAGACCACTGTTGGTGGTGCCGACGGGTCAGCCATTCGTGGCGGTGGCGTCGAACAACCAGAACCTGCAGCTGCTTTGCATCGAAGTGAACGCGTACAACAACGAGAAGTTCACGCTTGCCGGGAGGAGGAATGTGATGAACCAGCTTGAGAGGGAGGCGTATGAGCTGGCTTTCGGAATGCCGGCAAGAGAAGTAGATGATATTTTCGGGAGCCAGAAAGAGGATTTTTTCTTCAAGGGGCCACGTCAGCAGGGCGGCCGCTCCGATTCGTAAAGATCGAAAAGTATTGTGGGGGAAGAGTATGTACTACTCAGATATGCGGTTATGTGAATGAATGGTGTGTAGTGCTTTTATGTAATGTAATGTAACTCTGTGCTACTGGTAACAAGTTATGATGAAGATGTTTTAATTTGCGGATATGTAATTAACTAATGCCTATGTAAAATGGAGGATCTATCTTTTATTAACATAAATAAGACTGATCTGCTTCCATGAGGGCTTGATTTCCTATGTATTCAATAAATTTCACCCTTATCCATTATCAGATTTATTCAATGTGAGTTAAGCAAAGTCTTTTGGGGGCAATGGCACGTAATGTGTTGCATGGGGATTAACTATTGCTTCAAATGCAGCGAGAGATAACACACTTGGCGAACCTATCATAGAGCTGTAACTAGTAGCAGACGTGCCAAGAGATGCATCAATTTGCTTCACAACAATTTTAATCCTTTGAATCGACCATTGTTCCACAATAATAAATAACCCTTTTACATCTTCATCATAGTTGATTGTAAAAACACCAATCTCAGGGACAGAGTACGATAATGACAGGTTATCAACACTTAAAGAATTCCATCTTGAACAAACAAAATGCACAAGATTGAAAAAACTCATCCCTCTTGTAAAATCTATGATCGAACAAAATGCACCATATCTCAACAACAACATAATAGAACTAGTCATCCTGTAATTTCATATAAAACATAATTGCACTGTTAATAACAGTCACATTACTAATACATCCAGTAAATCTGTGTGTGCATTCAATTATACTGCCAATGACAATACCATTATATAACCACTTGCAAACAAACATAGGAAAATATAATTACATTGCTAATAACAGTCACATTACTAGTACATCAAGTAAAAACCCGCGTATACATTCAATTATACTGCCAATGGCAGCAACATTATATAAACGCTTTCAAAAAGAAAAACATAATAAAACATAATTATACTGCTAAATGACAGTCAAAATACATAAACAACCAGCGAAATAACATACACGTGCAATTATACTGCCAATTGCAACAACATTATATAATAACTTCAAAAAAAAAAAAAAAATAGCGTGAAAACAAAAATACACAACAAACAAAAAACATATTTCTGTAAACAATAATTGAACGCCCATACATCATGGTGTTCAATTTACTATAATTCAAACTATACATGTAGCGATGTTGACATTTGTAAACATTCGCATGCAGAGAAAAAAATTGACACACCTTCCTTGAAAATAATAATCCAGCAGATATGATCGGCGGTAAAAGCTGGAGACGACGGCTGGCGAGATCCGACGCAAAACAGCTAGATGTAGCTCAATTTCGAGATACAGAGTTACAGAGAGGAATTCGAGGGAGAAGAGAGAAGAATCGCAGACAATTCATAAAAAACGAGCTTAGGACTTTCACATTAAATACAGGGTAATTATGTCCGGAAAAAGACCCTTGCCTTGATTTTAAATAAACATTTAAGTATTGGGTTTTTTTGCAAGACAAAAAAACTGGATGTCCTTTTTTTATTTCAGTCCATATATCATGGGTCTATTTGTCATTTGCCCTATAAAAAAATAGCTTTAAAGTGGATCGATTAACCGATAAAATGGAATGATCAAAGTTCGTAGGTATTTAGTAAAGTTGCAATTTGATTTTGGATTAATTCCATTTTGCCCTCCCAAAAGTTTAATAATAATTTGCACCTAAAAATATAATAAATTAGGTCAGAAGTAAATCAAAAGGCGGGAATGTGCAAGAGATAGAGAGACAGCAAAATTAGGGCACAATCCATTCTTCCCCTTCTTGATTTCTTGTTGGAAAACCGTAAGTTTACATCTACCTCTCCTAATTCACAAATTTTAACTTCAGACTTTTCTCTGCTATTTTATTAGGGTTTTTTTTTTTTCTTTTCCCGCAGATCAAAGGTGAAACTCATTTAGCTATTTCTACAGTCGATCGAAGCTAGACATGGTATGGTTTTGTGCGTGTTTTTAGTGTGTGTAAATGTGTGTGTATACTGTATACATAGACGACTGCGATTTTCAATTGTTGGGAGTGACCTAGTTTTTATTAGTCTTTTTACATTCTTCAATTGTCTTGTTTGTTTCAGTCTGGCAGAAAAGAAACTGTTCTGGATTTAGCAAAATTCGTGGACAAAGGTGTTCAAGTCAAACTGACTGGTGGAAGACAAGGTTCGCCGTTGTTCGTTTATTGATAGATTTTTCGGCAATTTCATATCTATTTCTTTTTTATAGTTTGTGGGTTTCTCTTTACTTGGTCCGATTTCGTGTTTATCGCTTTATAATTTTGTTCGTTTATATTTTGTGATCTATTT